AAACTGAAAAACATGAAGAAAATGTACTAAATAGGTAATAATATAGCACATTCATAGTTTATACAGAAATATAATATCAAGGGGTACGACTACACCCTTTACAACTGCTTGAAAGAATATAAAGATAGCTTGAAACACACAGACTACTGATGAGACTCTAACGAACTTTCAGTGTGTCCTGGCCTTTGCAGATATGAATTGACAAATTATTCATAAATAATTGAACATTACAAGATGTGGAAACCATAACAAATGTGTTCTTTCTCTATATCACTGCATATAAGAAACTTGTAATTAGCCCATAAGTGACATCAATAGTTTTTACTGGTCTGTTACAAATCTCATGTTTTTTTTTTTTAAATTAATAGACAGCCTGTACCATTGTCTGCCTCGACAAAGCTAAAGCACAGTTCAGGCCCCATGGTTCTTTAGACACACTACTGGCTGGTCATAGATTTTTCCAACAACAGTATTTGCATCTTATTAGAAAAATAAATAAATGTTCAAAAAGGGAGAGAAATTCCAGCACATGTTTGTATGGTGGTAGCGTCTCTACATAAGTGACACGTTCTGAATGAATGGTGATTCACTTGCCAATGCAAATGGGGCCCCTATAATGAAGTGTTGTTTGCTTTGTTTTAGTGATCCCTTTTGACTGTTCCTTAGCCAAGTATCTGTAGCAGTCAGTTAGCACTCTCTAAATGCCACAAACTAACAATCAAATAGTCAGTCAGTGGAAGTAGTTCCTGGATCTGTGAATATTAGTAACTGAGGTCAAATTTACATTAAAAAAAAACAAAAAACAGAAATTGTATTATTATTATTAGAGGTATTTTCCAAAGAATTTACATTATATATATTTAATGACAAATGTCTATGCTCAAAGGGAATTCTACATCACCAAGCTGTCAAAATCTTCCTCTTCAATTCCCACCATGTCAGCTTAAGTCAGATCTGATTTGCTGGCGGCAATACAGCTTGCCCTGCACTGCAAGGCTTAGGTCAGGAGGACTAGAAGTTCTTGATTAAGAGCTTCAGGCTCTGCGGAGCTGGTAGTAAGATGAAGTGGTTATGGTGATTTGAGAGTTCCTTTAATGCATGACTCATGACTCATGTTAGCTGCATGACTCATGTTAGCTGCCATCAACTATTTTGCTAAAGGAATACTGTAAGCTCCATAATCACTTAATTCTCCATTTAGTTAATATTCTCTGTCCCCAGTCACTTCTTGCAATATTCAAGCTGATGGGTACATAATGATTTCATATACTGGCAGCCAACAACACTCTGGGCTAAAGAATAAATAAGAGGACAGGCTGGGGACAGGCATTGCAAGACATGTGCTGGCACAGTGAGGCATCCTGGCAGCTTCTGGTAAGGGACAACATAAATGAGAGTGTGGTGTTTGAGTGTGTGTCATTATGTTTGTATTGGTGTCTCTCTGTGTGTGTGTCAGTATGGTTGTATTAGTGTGTTTGCAAGGTTACTGCATATCTGTGAGTGTGGGAGTCAATGTGTGTTTGCCAGTGAGTGTGTATGAGTCACTGTGTGTGTGTCAGTGTGTTTGCATGGATCACTCTGTATGTGTCAGTTTATATATTTGGATCACTCTGTTCGTGTCAGTGTGTGTGTAGAGGTCACTGCACACTACACTCAGAAATAACACACAGTGTTATTTACTAAACTTTGAATTGTAAAATAAGAATTTAAATGCTGAGCACTGATATGTAGGATACATCAATAAGTGTCCTTGCAACACAAGTGTGATAATTAGCAAGTAATCTGGTAAACCCTAGTAAGGATGCTGACTTCAGTCTCTGTAGTATTGAGTCATATTCTTTCTGGATCAGGCAGCAATATACTCAGAATTAAAAAAACTAACAAAAAACATAAGTCGGGGAGCTTTTTCCCTAAACAGAGATTTTAGAGGAATTTACTTGAAAATTGTCAAGTAGACTTAACAGAATAACTGTGGGCATACCATGGTATGCATATCCCCGAGAATAGGGGGCTGCAGAGCATGGTAACAGCCAATCAAATCTAACAGAGAATAATGCATGGATCTAGTCACTCACCAAGCGGTACAAGATTAGAAAAAATATCTGATCATGACATGATCTGTTTATTATCTGATTGCATCTGATAAGCAAGCGAAAAGTTAGCCCTGGTGAGTAGAACCTTAAACCTCGTGACTGTGTAATGGAAACCATAGGCTTGCTGTGGCAAGTAACTTTTAGGCCTGGCCAGTAGTGTAGGACTTGAAATGTCTTATATATATATATATATAAGGGGTAAGAGTGCTTTCTATATATATGTAAAGAACAAGAACATTAAGGGGTGGAAGTCAATGAACATGATGACTACATAATGGAAGAGAAAATAATACATAAATAATATATAATAACATATACGTCTCAGTGATGCTTGAGATTAGTTTGGGATACAGTCTCTGTGCAAGCCAATGGTGGCAAACACTGCTCAGGAGCGTAACTTCCAATAAACACAGGCATGCCTGTGATTAGGGCCTCAAACTGTACAGAGGGGATCTGTTCATTGTTACTCATTCATTACAAGGACTAGTTTCGTGTACTATGTCACCAACTGCATAGCTCGGGATTCTAAAATGCAATCTGCCTGGTGAAATCACTACGTGGATGTGGTAAGCAAAACAATGAGGAGGGTGGCACAATTCCATTCATCAGAGAATATGAATGGAACTGGTGCACAAGTTGAGGACAGCTTAGAATATCAGATTACCAATGTTATTTTAAGCTATAGATAGAACTACATTTCCATTGCTGTGGTTACAGTTTACTGAGAGCTGTCTACTGCCTGAATGTGTGAGAATGTACACTTATGCTATATGTATAAAATAAATTATACAAAAAATGCCTGTTATAATGTTCAGTCCTTGTTAAATCATATAATATCCAAAGCAACAAGACTGCAGCCTTCCGTAGTTCAGTTGCAATGTGGGTTTATTTAGCCATCCCAAAAGAACAGGCAACGTTTCAACACACTGTGTGTCTTTATCAAGCTATCAAGACACAAATGTTGAAACGTTGCCTGTTCTTTTTTTGGACAGCTGAATTAACATTCATTGCATCTCACTCATTGGGTCCCTTGGAGCAGGGACCCTGACTAACAGCACAGGCACCAAAATTTTGAGTTTGAATAGTGCCCCTCCTATATATTCAGTCTATATGTCCTATTTCATAATTATTTTCTTCAAACTGGTTTAACAGGTTTAACATATTAAAAAAATTTCAACTTGCTGACACAGGATTTTCATATTCCTGACAACTATAAATATCTTCAGTGTTTACAGATATCCCTTCAAATGTAAAGATATAAATTCAGTTTATTTTCCATTCTGTAAAATACTATAAATATAACTATCATATTTATACAAACAGGAAGACCCACAGCATGAAACAATACCATGTTAGAACATGTGAGCTATGCCTCTTGTCCTTATTTTAAGATTTTAATAATCTTGAAACATTAAATATAGTAAAATAGGACGTGCGGAGATGTAATACTAAGATACTTGCTGATGATACTAAGATATGTAACAGGGTTGATGTTCCAGGAGGGATAAGCCAAATGGCAAATGATTTAGGTAAACTAGAAAAATGGTCAGAATTGTGGCAACTGACATTTAATGTGGATAAGTGCAAGATAATGCATCTTGGACGTAAAAACCCAAGGGCAGAGTACAGAATATTTGATAGAGTCCTACATCTGAGGAAAAGGATTTAGGGGTGATTAATTCTGATGACATAAAGGTAGGCAGACAATGTAATAGAGCAGCAGGAAATGCTAGCAGAATGCTTGGTTGTATAGGGAGAGGTATTAGCAGTAGAAAGAGGGAAGTGCTCATGCCATTGTACAGAACACTGGTGAGACCTCACTTGGAGTATTGTACACAGTACTGGAGACCGTATCTTCAGAAGGATATTGATACATTAGAGACGGTTCAGAGAAGGGCTACTAAACTGGTTCATGGATTGCGGGATAAAACTTACCATAAAAGGTTAAAGGATCTTAACATGTATAGCTTGGAGGAAAGAAGAAACAGGGGGGATATGATAGAAACATTTAAATACATAAAGGGAATCAACACAGTAAAGGAGGAGACTATATTTAAAAGAAGAAAAACTACCACAACAAGAGGACATAGTCTTAAATTAGAGGGACAAAGGTTTAAAAATAATATTAGGAAGTATTACTTTACTGAGAGGTAGTGGATGCATGGAATAGCCTTCCAGCTGAAGTGGTAGAGGTTAACACAGTAAAGGAGTTTAAGCATGCGTGGGATAGGCATAAGTCTATCCTAACTATACGATAAGGCTAGGGACTAATGAAAGTATTTAGAAAATTGGGCAGACTAGATGGGCCGAATGGTTCTTATCTGCCATCACATTCTATGTTTCTATGTAATTCTTTACAAGCCGTATGGTATGGAAGACAGATGCTGCCTTTGCAATTTGGAAAAATCTGACTGGCGTAATTCCCACTGGGAATATTACATGGTTGTGGCTCGTGTAGAGTTCTTTCTTATCAATCATATAGACGCCATGACAGACTATTGGCGATACAACGTGTCTACTCCCATGGGCCAGTCTAAATGTAAACTGTATGTTCAGCCTCACAGCAAACCCATGCTTTAAAATAAATGACATGTCTTACTGAAACTGAGCCCTCTGTAATTACTTACCTATTACATGATGCAGTTGCCTTAACAACTACAGATGAAATCTACAAACATGGACTGACTAAGGAATCTTTCCATTGGAAGGAAGTTGTAAAACACACTTGAAATTCAGAAAATTCCTGATGTTTTGTGTTCACTATTCCCAAGTGATTTATTGTACCCCAATTCTTCCCCTGCATGAAAGAACCCACCCACATACATGGACCATCAAGGATAGGTTGTGTAACTGCAATACCTCCACCCCCTACTACCCTTTAAAATAACTCCCATTACATGACATCATGTTCCCACACAATACTGCCACTGAGCAATCCTGCAGAGTCACACAGCTTCACCTGGCTTGTTACATAGGATTTATTAAGGGGGCTCTGCAAGCTTTCTCCCCAGTCTGGCCACAGCTGAAGCTCTGCTATGTTTTAAAAGAGGGAAACATTGAGAACAAAAGACAGCTACAACCAGCAATTTTGCACAACTGCCTTTCCAATTGCCAGATCAGAAAAGGATGCATTACAGAGAAATGATGACTTTGACTACATGGGTTTGTTCAATTTGGTGCCTTTCCTCTGCTCTGACTATTGCTGCTATGATCTCAGTAGAGAACAACATAGACAATGGGATTCTGGTGACTGAAGAAGGCAAGTAAACTGCAACTTTGCTTCACTGTCCTTATGGGTCAGGATTGGGCAAATCAATAACTTAATGTGGCAATGCTGGCATGCTGCTGTTAATGAAAGGCTTACACAGTTTTTTACATTATGTTAGGAAGATAACTTATTATTATTTTGTTTACTGCATTGTTTATTTTTCTTTCCATGGCTGTTTTATTGCATGTATTTGTGTATATTGATTGAGTTAATGTGTAATGTAAATTTCAACGAATGCATACACACCACACACACACTTATATACACTTAGGTATATTATGCAAATACGAGTAAATATAAATATGTCATAAAGGATGCTATGGTCTTCATAAATTCATTAAGTGTTTGTCCAGGAAAAGCATATTTAAAGTTGTGTGCTCATACATTGTATTACCCTTTGTGTGTTTAATGAATGTTCCCAATCATGTTATAACCCTTTGTGTGCTTAATGAATATTCCCAATCATGTTATAACCCTTTGTGTGCTTAATGAATATTCCCAATCATGTTATAACCCTTTGTGTGCTTAATGAATATTCCCAATCATTTTATAACCCTTTGTGTGCATAATGAATATTCCCAATCATTTTATAACCCTTTGTGTGCATAATGAATATTCCCAATCATGTTATAACCCTTTGTGTGCTTAATGAATATTCCCAATCATTTTATAACCCTTTGTGTGCTTAATGAATATTCCCAATCATGTTATAACCCTTTGTGTGCATAATGAATGTTCCCAATCATTTTATAACCCTTTGTGTGCATAATGAATGTTCCCAATCATGTTATAACCCTTTGTGTGCTCAATGAATGTTCCCAATCAATTTATAACCCTTTGTGTGCTCAATGAATGTTCCCAATCAATTTATAACCCTTTGTGTGCTCAGTGAATGTTTCCAATCATTTTATTACCCCTTTTGTGCTTAATGAATGTTCCCAATCATTTTATAACCCTTTGTGTGCTGGATATGATCTCTAAAAATCCTTGCATATACTTAGTACACTTCCAAATGCATGACATGTATATCTGTGTAGAAGGGATTATAACGTGGATTTTTGTGTTTTAGTTACTTTAACCGATTGCCAAGTGAAGGAGATGACCCGATGGGACAAGCTATTCACCCTGCTGGAGAACTCCCAAATGAGAGAGAACATGCTGCTGCAGTCAGTGGATGAAGTTATTAAGGTGGAACTGCAGGCTCTGAGAGGGGAAGTCTTGCAGTTTGCCGGTGATCTCTCAGGGAAGTGTGCCAATGACATTGACACTGCCACCTTAAAGATCACACAGCAACTGGACAAGTCGCTGTCTTCTAAATGCTTCCAAGTTCTAGAACAAGGCAACAGTTTGGAAGCTTCCCATGGAAACGTTCTGGAGCAATCCCTCCAGCTGAGCCTCAACATCAGCGATAGACTGGACAGTCTGGAGAGAGGATTGCAGGAGAAAGCAGAGGAAGATAGTGCCTTGAAGAATCTAGCTACAGCAGGATGCCAGCAAACAGAGGCAGCTCTAGACTCCGCCGTGAAGGAGCTGGAACAGCTGAAGTCTGCCATACAGCAAACCCAGATTTGGATCAACAAACGTTCCCTGCCTGCAGGTAAGATGTTAAACTACCTACCAGCACTAAATGTAGCATGGAGATAGTGGTGTGGGTCTCAGCACCTAGCATGGACAAGCATTGTGGACATTGTCCACAAAATCTAGCTGGCCACATGTTGGCTAGCAGGGATAGGTTATCTAGATCAGTCTGGCTGCTGTGAGCTATGTTCCCATACCACACTCAGCCAGCTGTCTGACCATCACCACTGTACAGCCTTTCTTCACCATATGAGTAATGTCCTGGGATTTCTGTCACCAGTACTGTGTGCCATTTATTATGTATTAATGTATATGAATAGCTACACTGTTCTTTAATATACCGGATAGGTAAGTAGCAAAGTGTACATGACAGTCCTCAACTAAAGGTTTCATTTTTATGCGGGCCCTTAGTTCATCCCTGGCAGCTTTCCCATTTAAAACCTTGTGATCAGATATGGTTATGGTTATGCTGTCCCTTTAATAAATATAAAGCAATGTTTAATTCCCCTCGTAGCTGAGGATATTGGGATTGGCAGTTCTCATCAGCGGAGGGATCAATTGTTGTCAATGCTAAACTAACATTTTTTTTTTCAAACATTTGTTGCTTTATACTAGATACAACTTAAAAAGAAGAAAATAGTGTACGATTTATTTACAAAGTGTATTATATAGTACAGCGATTTTGTTAACTTCATATAAATGGAGATTAGAATGAGTAAGAATCATTTTTAAAATGCTGAGTAATCATTCCTCTTAAACTTTGATAATGATACCCTTAGCATCCTGCCAAAAATATATTAAACCGCTTATAATGTCTTTTCAGAAGTGTATGTGTGTAATTATGTGTGAATTCTAGATTATATTTTCTGTATGTATCAAGTGAGAATTTGTATTTGTAACAAAAGACAATTTTATTTTAACAATAAAATCATTGCCTTCTATTACATTACATTTTCACTCCCATCCATGAAATATGAGCTTTGTGAAGTTAAATTATGAAATTAAATATCAGTCTAGTCACTACAGTGATTTGTGAACTGCAAACTTTAGCACAAAACAGCTGAATTGAAAAAAAAAAAGGCCAATTGAACTTGGCTGAGTCCAAGGGAACACAACTGGAAAGAGGAAAATTCAGGAAAGACATTTTTAACAAAAAGAGTTGTAGACGCATGGAATATCCTTCCAGTAGACATGCCAGAGGATTGAACAGTACAGTGGGATAGTCACACAGTTGTTCTGGGCAGGAAACAACTCACAACTAAATTATGTGTTTCAGGTAAGAAATGGACAAAGAAGATGTGCCTTTTGGCTTTTATCTGCTGAAATTAAAATCTGTGTTTCAATGAAATTTACTACAATGTGTCATTAAGTGAATACGCCCCTAGTATTTTACATTAGAGTCTTTGATGTGTACAAATGGCTCTAAATGTGCGCGCAAAGCATATATGTTGTTTCATTTACTCTCAAATGTTCAAACCACTGTCACTGTTCATAATATATATATATATATATATATATATATATATATATATATAAATATTTGTGCATATTTTGTTTCATTTTACAACTGTATGTATTAATCAATAGTGCCTTGCTTAACACATATAAAAAGTCCTTAGATATTGTTATTTACAGGTCATTTTATCTGACATTGAACCACACAGTTCCCCAAGTGGCGCCACAACTCTGAGCATTGCATTTAAGACAGTCCATAAAAAAAAAAAAAATGGCACAGGGAGCAATTATGTAAACTGCCATTCAGCAGGGATAACACAGAGGATATTGTCAGTCTGATTAAACATGCCTTAGATTGAGAGTTATATTAATCCCTAACATGTAAATCATCTCTGTGGATGTATTAACCCATTAACTGCACCAAGTGTCAAGACTGACGTTTGTTCCACTAAAGACATGAACAGCAGTTTCTGAGGCAAACTAGTAAAAAATTAAGGTGGAGCAGTCGCCATGGAAACCATGGGCTTTTCCTACTAGTTGAGTAACTTTATGAAATTTTTTGTAGAATTGCTCTTTTGTTCTCATCTGCTGTGTATTACTAATAAAGTGAATTGTATGAAATGAGAAAGGCATTTTTAACCCCTTAGTGACCAGACCGTTTTCCAATTTTCTTACCGTTTACTATAGTCACCAGAACAACTACAGCTTAATGTAGTTGTTCTGGTAAGTATAATGGCTCCCTTCAGGCATTTTCATGTAAACCCTGCCTTTTCAGAGAAAAGGCAGTGTTTACATTGCCCCTAGGGACACCTCCATGTGACCACTCCTTAGATGGCCACTGGAGGGGCTTCCTGGCTCAGGGCTGCACAGTAGGCAGCCCTGCCGTTCAGCGTCTCCACGCACTGCATGGAGACGCTGAATTTTCCTCATAGACATGCATTGATTAAATACATCGATATGAGGAGGTCCTGATTGGCCCCGCCCCCATGACAATTTTAGCCAATCCAATGCTTTCCCTATAGGGTCAGGAATACATGTTTGTGATCCTTTAAGGACCAGGGCTGTTTTTACATTTCTGCGGTGTTTGTGTTTAGCTGTAATTTTCCTCTTATTCATTTACTGTACCCACACATATTATATACCATTTTTCTTGCCATTAAATAGTCTTTCTAAAGATACCATTATTTTCATCATATCGTTATTTACTATAAAAAAATATATAAAATATGATGGAATTTTTTTTTAAAAAACATACTTTTCTAACTTTGCCTCCCAAAATCTGTTACACATCTACAACCACCAAAAAACACCCATGCTAAATAGTTTCTAAATTTTGTCCAGCGTTTAGAAATACCCAATGTTAGCATGTTCTTAGCTTTTTTTTTACAAGATATAGGGCTACAAGTACAAGTAGGACATTGCTGTTTCAAAATATATATTTTTAAAATGTATTAATAGTGACATTGTAACACTATTATCTGTCATAAATCTCTGAATCACACCTCACATGTACATTTTTTTTTAAAGTAGCCACTTAGTCACAAACTGGCCAAAATTAGTATTTATATTTGTTTGTGTGTTAAAAATGCAAAAAACTATTAACTACGCTAACTTTGGCCAGTGTTTGTGACTAAGTGGCTACTAAAAAAGACTGAACATACCCCATTTGCAATACATTGGGTTGTCTTCTTTTCAAAATGGAATGCCATCATGGGGGTAATTCTTATTCCTGGGCTACCATATGCTCTCAAAGGCAACATAACCAATCTGGCAAATTTCATTGTGAAAAAACAGAAAATCAAGCCTTATATTTGACCCTGTAACATTCAAAAACACTATAAAACCCATACATGGAGGTTCTGTTATACTCGAGAGACTTCGCTGAACACAAATATTAGTGTTTCAAAACAGTAAAACGTATCACAACAATGATATCATCAGCCTGTCAGTTCAGGCAGTCCCCCTGCAAGCAACAATATGGACGCCTATTGCGGCCATGTGACCGCTCTTTCAAAATGATCACATGGCCCGTGGGGGTCCTTATTTGCTAAGGGGGTCTGTCTGGGATGTCAGACAGTCCCCCTAGATGGAGAGGAAATCCGATTGCCAGCGAGGGAACAGCGGTGATCGGGTAAGTTATTACTTATACTTTTTTTATTTTTTAAATATTTTTTACCTATTTTTTAATTTTATTTATTTTACTAAGTGCTTCGACCCCTCGAGGCACTCAGCTGACAGGCAGAGCATTGGAAGCCTGCCTGATGGCTTCTGATGCTCTGCTGCACTGCTGGGCGCCACGTGGGGCAACCCGGAAATGAACGGTCCGGGGGAGTGGTCACCCAGCTACCCGACAGTCAGGGGAGGTATTGCAGGATGCCTAGACATTACAATGGGGCCACACCATGCGGGTTGGGGCTGCATTACTTAGCTGGCGGGACCTGCGGTCGCAGGGTTCCACAGGGCGGACGGGCCCCCTGGAGTGACCTCGGTAGTTGCGCCACTGGTCATATCTACCCTATGTGATAAATATTTCTGCTTAAATGCTAATATATTACACCTTGCAAGATAAAGTGTGTGTGTGGATATATACACACACACACACAAAATTGTAAAAACAAACAAAAGAATTGAATACATTTTACTGCTCTTACTGCTCTTGTTATCCCTGAACAGAAAAATATACACAAAAGTCATGCTTTCAGGTAAAAATTCAAAGTGAATTTAAAATTTAACGCCAAATAGCTGAATGGATAACATTCCTGATTGAGAATTTCTCCAATTCAAATATTTTTACTTTAAAGGGTTACTATAGCTCTTTCCAGTGTAATATGCCCTATTGGGCACTGTGGAGAAAGCCCACCCTCTCAATTTGTAGTAAAGCCTGCTAAAAAAGGTTTTACTTACCTGGTGAAGTAAAACCTGACGTAGAAAAAAATACAGTGTGGAATAGAGAGAGGCGGTAGGGAATGCAGAGTGGGAGAACTAGTTAGCCAATTCAGGCGTTCTGCCTGCAGAGGGAAGATTTCTCCGTCTGTTGTCAGCATGCAGTGCATGCTTACAATAGACGTATTTTATGCACAGAATTTACATTAGACAGTCCGGAACAGAGTTCTGGGCTGCCAATATCATGTGTGCTGTGAATTTAGCTAACCCCCAGCACACAATTAAAAATATATCAGTAAGTGCAGTGTTTCAAGTTGAAACACTTCACATACTGACTACTACCACCACGACCACTTCAAATCACTAAATTGGTCATGGTGGTTGGAGTAACCCTTTCAGTTTGAAATTCACAGTGAATTCACCTTGAATTCTCACTTTAGCAATAAACCCTTTTTGTCAATGGTTTATATGCTAGGTACACAGGTTTCAAATAAATCTTACACTGCATATATAACCAAAAACATACCATGCAGCTGGTAATACAATAACCGGACACCCCAAATTTATACTTGGTAGATTTCACCGTTGTGAAAAATGATTCAGAAAAAAATAATTTAATCATGTTCTCATGTTTGAGTTCTTTCAATATTGTCATCATTAAGAAGCAAGGAAAATATTTGAACTCAGAACACGGTGTTGGAAAATCGTTTCACAGGAAGCAAGTGGTCTTCTTATTGCATGTGCTGCACTCTAGTGAAACTTTTTGAGAAATGTTATTAGAAACACATGTATTATCGGTTACGTAATCATGTACTTCTTGAAATCAATGTAACATATGGACTGTACACCTATAGCACCTATTGGGAATAGAGAGATGGATGTCATATGTTTGCATGGCCAGGGTTTCCTACTGTAACTTGGGAAGGGGGTTGGGATCAATGAAAAACTCTAGATCAGGGGTGCTCAAAAGGTAGATCCCCAGGTGTCGTAGAACTATAACTCCCATGATGCTTTGCATGCCTTTGGAATGCATTTAGAGGGGCCAAGCATCATGGAAGCTGTAGTTTTAAAACATCTGGGGGACTACCTTTTAGGCTCCCCTGATCTAGAAAGTGAAATGGGTGACAATGAGCCACTACTGTGAGCAATAGAAAACAGGGCCACCTTGGTAGGCCAGAACTAAACTGGCACTAAATTGAAAATTCAAAGTAAATTTTAATTTTTAGGCCAAATTGGAAGCATAATTCACTAGGAGAGTTTTTACAATTCATATATTTTAGCTTTCAATTCAGTTTGAATTCACTCTGTATTCTCATTTTAGTGACTAAACCTGTGGGAGTTATACATCTGGCAAGGATTAATCCACTGACTGCTCTAATCAGTCTTGCCTATCGAATGGCAAATGTTAGAATGGAGAGGAGTAGTTAGGACAGTGTGTATAATGAAAGGGAAAGCATGTAACAAGACATACTGGGTGGGAGTTCAAAAGAGAAAGAGACAGCGAGAAAATAGTGGGTGACTAATAGAAAAGAAATAGATACAGTGCTTTCATATAAAGTAAATTATACATCAGTTAACCCGTTAACGCCGTTACGGCGTTCTATGCCGTCCCGCATTAAGTGGGCTTTAAAGCCGTTGCAGCGGCATAGAACGCCGTAACGGCTTTGAGCCCCTGGAGGTCCGCGGTACTCACCTCCGCCGCGATCCTCTTTTGGAGGGCTGCCTGACAAAGAGCGATCACATGGCCCCCTATAGCTGGCTGTGGATCTGCCAGCAGGGGGTCTGTCTGAAATGTCTCAAATGTGAGACAGTCCCCCTGCTGGTGGGAAAGTAAAAAAAATAAATGATTAGACATGTTATAAAATAAAATAAATGTATTTATTTATATAATATATGTATATATATTATATGTATATAATATATATACATATTATATATATATGTAACGCCATACAAAGTGTATTTTAATATTAATATAAGTACCTTGCTCACGGTGCCTAGAGAGATATCAGCTATGCCTCACTGATGATGCCTAACAAGGCTGAAACGATCGTCTGGGGTTGCTGTATCTCTTGTGCAGAGAGTACTTGCTGGCATTTCAGATCTGGACTGCCCGTATGGGTGGGACCAGTCTGATATGCTTTAGATATGTTCTATCTGTAATGGCACAAGATGAGCTAAAACCAGCTTGAGTTCTGAGCGGGGACCCACCGAAGGGCAGGCTATTTTAGCTGCTGTCCGTTCTCAGAATACTCTTGCGACCAATTTTTTGCTCTCCATTAAAATACACTTAGAATGACGTTACCTATATATAATATATATAGTGTGTGTGTGTATATATATATATATACACAAGAGATATATATACATATATTTTATATATATATATATATATATATATATATATATATATATACACATTTAATTACAATAATAAATAAATACAATAATAAAATATTGAAACAAAATTTAATATAAATTATATATTCATTTGTAAATTCATTCTAACTCTATTTTGTTATTAATATATATATTGGTAACAAAATACACTTAGAATGACATTCTATATATAAAATACACTTAGAATGACATCTATATATAAAATACAAATAACCGCAAATATATATATATAGATTGATAAATACATATAATTACATAAAAGATTACATTAGTATACACGTAGAATTTTAATACCTAAAAATGCATATATATTAAAATTATACATGTATATTTAAGTAATCTTTTAAAATAATTATGTGATTTTATTAATTAAAATTTGATTGACATGCCTGACAACAGGGGAGAAAGTAGACCCTGTAACTCTCCAAGACACCATAAAACCTGTACATAGGGGGTACTGTTTTACTCAGGAGACTTCGCTGAACTGAAATACTAGTGTTTAAAACTGGTAAATTGTATTACAACGATGATATTTTAAGTAAAAGTGACGTTTTTTGCATTTTTTACAAACGGACATCACTTTTATGGACTATATTATTGTTGTAATATGTTTAACTGTTTTAAAACACTTATATTTGTGTTTAGTGAAGTCTCCCGAGAATAACAGTACCCCCCATGTACAGGTTTTATGGTGTTTTGGAAAGTTAGAGAGTCACATATAAGGCTTGCATTTCATTTTTTGACATTGAAATTTGCCAGATTGGTTATGTTGCCTTTGAGAGCGTATGGTAGCCCAGGAATGAGAATTACCCCCATGATGGCATACCATTTGCAAAAGTAGACAACCCAAGGTATTGCCAAATATTAGTTTTTTGCTTTTTTCACACAAAAACAAATATGAACGCTAACTTTGGCCAGTGTTTGTGACTAAGTGGCTACTAAAAAAGACTAAACATACCCCACTTTCAATACCTTTGGTTCTCTACGTTTTCAAATGGTATGCAATTATGGGGTAATTCTCATTCTTGGTCTACCACACCGTCTCAAAGGTAACATTACTAATCTGGCAAATTTCAGTTTGAAAATGGAACGTTCTATATTTGACCCTGTAACTTTCCAAAACACCATAAAACCTGTTAATGGGGATACTGTTGTACTCGTGAGACATCGCTGATTACAAATATGTGCATTTTTTTGCAGTAAAACCTAACAGTATCATGACATTAACAGCTAAAATGTCGGATGGAAATACAAATTTAAAAAAAAAATCTTATTTTCTCACATTATTTTAAATTTTATTCATAATAAATAATGTTCCATATATGAATAGTTAATGATAAATTAAAGCCCTGTTTCCCTTGAATAAAATGATATATAATAAATGTGACAGCGGTGAATTACGGTTGAACAGACATATAGCGCAAATTCCAGTTTTTGTTTTGATCAGAACGTGCACTATTTACTCCGTCCCGAATGGGTTAAGATTCACTGCTGTAAAATAGTATAAATAGATAACATTCTATGTAATAGCACGTTTCATTCTACTTTATACAAAAAAACTAAAGGATAAAATATTAGAAATTTAATGGGATTTGGTTTTCTTCTCCATAATTATTTTCCCGGTATATATTTGGAAAGTATTACTTTTAACACATTCCATCCCACATTGCATAGAAAGCTATGCAAAACAAAATTTAGAGAAAAAAGTAATTTAATTCCTTATCATCACCAATTTTGGTCATCTAGACTTTACAGTTCAAACAGAAGGACTCTAAAAGGCTGACATGCATTGTATTTTAAGTCTTATTGGCTCTTTGAGTTACAGGGCTGTAAGGAGGAGGAGGTGCTCTGGACATACTGTAGAACGTTTGTACAAGATGTAGGAGGCGACTGCAATGCTAAATGTATTTGATTTTCCTGGGCAGCTGTACCTAATGTACATGCATATTAAGGAGACAGTTTAGGCATCATAACAATTTAACCCCTTAAGGACCGAGGACGGTTCAGGACCGTCATTGGCATTTTTGCGTTGCTGACCGATGACGGTCCTGAACCATCCTAACGGTCAGAGCTACTTACCTGATCGTCGTCGTTCCCCCGGCGGCGATCAGCGTGGCTCCGGTTGTGGGGAGACTGCCTGCAGCCCAGGCAGTCTCCCCACGGCAGATTAGGACCCCTGTGGCCATGTGATCGCTTAACACAGCGATCACATGGTCACAATAGGTGTCCATGTGTCTGCCTGCAGGGGGACTGTCTGTGCTGACAGGCAGTCTCCCTGCTAGTGTAAAATCAAAAATAAAAATAAAGTTAATGTTAATAAAAAATAAATAAATAATTATATATGTGTATATATGATATATAGACATATATTATATCTATATAATATATGTCTATATATTATATATATATAATGTCATACTAAGTGTATTTTTATATTAATATGTACTTATATTAATATAAAAATACACTTATAATTAAATTACACACGTATATATAATATATATAATAACTATATATATTGTATATATATATTATTATAAAATATAAATAATAAGTAATTTAAATTAAATAAATTTTTTTTTAAATAATAATAAAAAATTAAAAAAATTATATAGCTATATGAAATTTTATTCTAACTGTATTTTAAAATTAATATATATATATTTATATCAAAATACACTTAGAATGAATTTGTATATATATCTATGTATATAAAAATAAATAAAAATAATAAGAAATATACATACGTCCATATACAAAATTACATAAATAATTATATAAATATACACGTAGACTTCAAATATATAAATATGCATATATATTTAAATTCTACGTGCGTATTTATGTAATATTTTTACATAATTAGTAATTTTATTGATTGCAATTTGAGGGACCTGCCTGCCAACCCAGGCCAAAATTCCAGAGAATTTAATTTGCTAGCACTGTATTTTACCCTGTAACGTTCTACGACACCCTAAAACCTGTACATGGGGGTACTGTTTTACTCGGGAGACTTCGCTGAACACAAATATTAGTGATTCAAAACAGTAAAACATATCACAGCGATGATATTGTCAGTGAAAGTTACTTTTTTTGCATTTTTCACACACAAACAGCACTTTTACTGATGATATAATTGTTGTGATACGTTTTCCAGTTTTTAAACACTAATATTTGTGTTCAGCGATGTCTCCCGAGTAAAACAGTACCCCCCATGTACAGGTTTTATAGCATTTTTGAAAGTTACAAGGTCAAATATATGGGTCAAATATTTTTACATTGAAAATGGCCAGGTTGGTTACGTTGCCTTTGAGAGCGTATGGTAGCCCAGGAATGAGAATTACCCCCATGATGGCATACCATTTGCAAAAGAAGACAACCCAAGGTATTGCAAATGGGGTATGTCCAGTCTTTTTTAGTAACCACTTGGTCACAAACACTGGCCAAAATTAGCGTTCAATTTAGTTTTTTTACTTTTTTCACACACAAACAAATATGAATGCTTACTTTGGCCAGTGTTTTCGACTAAGTGGCTACTAAAAAAGACTGGACATACCCCATATTGAATACCCTGGGTTGTCTACTTTAAAAAAAATATGTACATGTGGGGTGTTATTCAGAGATTTATGACAGATAATAGTGTTACAATGTCACTATTGATAAATTTTAAAAATGTATGTTTTGAAACCGCAATATCCTACTTGTACCTATAGCCCTATAACATGCAAAAAAAAGCAAAAAAGCACGTAAACACTAGGTATTTTTAAACTCAGGACAAAATTTTGAATCTATTTAGCAGTTTTTTTCATTCGCTTTTGTAGATGAGTAAAAGATTTTTCAAGTAAAAGTCAAAAAACATGTATTTTTTTCAATTTTTCATCAGATTTTTGTATTTTTTTAAAATTAAAATACATGAGATTATATAAATAATGGTATGTAAAGAAAGCCCCTTTTGTCCTGAAAAAAACAATATATAATTTGTATGGGAACAGTAAATGAGAAAGCGGAAAATTACAGCCAAACACAAACACCACAAAAGTGTAAAAATATGCCTGGTCGCAAATGTACAACATCGCAAAAACAGTCCAGTCCTTAAGGGGTTAATGTAAATTAAGTTGCTATGGTGCCAGAGGGGCCCCAGAGCACTCTTACCGTAAAGTAAGCCTCCAGCACTAATTCTCAGGTCCCCCAGGTGGTATCCGGCTTCTGAAACTCAGTTTCAGGAAGTGTGAAGCAACGCCAGGCCAGGGAGCCGCTGATTGGCAGAGAGTGGTCAGCTGATGCTCAAAGCCAATCAGTGACTCCCCATTCATAAAGCTGGCTTGAAAAGAAACATTTATTTTACAAGCCAGCTTTATGAATAGAAAGTCACTGATTGGCTGAGACCATTAGTTGATCACTGAGTAATTTAGTGGCGCCCCTCCTGGGCAGTGCTCTGCACTTCCAGAAACTGAGATTCAGAAGCAAGATGCTGCCTGGTGGACCTGAAGATTGGAGGCTCACTTTGGGATTAAAGCATTCAAGAACTGCTTAACACCTTAAGGTAAGAGTGCGCACGGGGGCCTCCTGGCACCATAACAACTTAATTTAGATTAAGTTGTTATGGTGAAGGAAGTGTCCCTTTAAGTCTACATTTACAATGTGTAAAGTTTGGCAGCATATTTTGTAATCTACATTTTCAAAATGCATCAGGTTACTTACAAAACTCTATAGGCAAAGTATTTGTCTATTTATGCAACTAGAGAGATGCCATGTATTATACAAAGAATTCATTTGCACCAGTCTGAAGAATTCTAAAGTGAGCAAAATGTATTCCCTGAACAGCTATCTAAACACAAAATTTATACATAATACATGGATGCTTAGTAAGTGTTCACAGAACAAAACACACATGTGATTTTTCATGATTTAATATATTAATGTGCAAAAGTTATCAATTCCCCAATGTAATATGTGTTGTCAGAGATATTTCCAATATTTAATCAATGTCAGTGCTGAGCAATTGAGCCCATATAAGCTGAAGCAAATGTCCATGCCTGGTCATTATTTTACTTAGATACCATTCATTGGCAAGAAAAAGAAGTGTCTAATAGAGCAGGTCCTTTCCAAACATAGGGTGAAAATAGACATGCATCCAAGTTCATCCTTTCTTACATCTCTATTTGTTGCTGATCCAAAAGAAGGCAAAAAACAAACAAACACGTGTTTAAGCCCTTAAGGACATACCCTATAGTGTTAAAAACAATATCTAACCCAGCCCTTATGATCTCCCCTTGCAACCCTAAATATAGTAAAACCTTACCTTTAGTACAGTCTGCTGCTGGCTCTATCCCTGCTCTGCCTGATTGGCTGACATAATCAGAAGAGGTGATTTCAGTCAATCACAATGCTTTTCCATAGGAAAGACTGTCAAGGAGGCAGATCACGGACAGAGCCAGCACAACGCAAAAAACGGCTAATCAATAAATCTCTATGAGTTCAATGTCTCCATTCAGAGGGTGGAGACACTGAATGTGCTGCACACTGTTCAGCACTGCCCCAGAAAGCACCTTTAGTAGTCATCTGAAGATAGGCCAGTTGAGATATCCCTAGGCTGTAATGTAGCCTACAGGGACTGACTATACTCACCAGAACAACTACATTAAGCTGTAGTTGTTCTGATAGCTAAAGTGTTCCTTTAAAGCGCTTTCCAATTTTGCAACAAACAAAGAAAAAAAAATATTTCTCACCTTAAATCTCTCCTTGGATCAGCAAGCTGTTACCCCACATATTAAAAATGATATCTCTGAATATTGTTTTTGCAAGTAGTCACCCAGTTGCTGTTTAAACATCTGTACAGACTCTGATAAAACTACCTCTTCAGACTGAGAATTCCATCTCATTGTTCTTACTGTAAAAAAAAAAAAAAAATCCTTTCCTTTCCCTTAGACTAAATCTCCTTTCTTCCAGTCTAAACAGACCCTTTAGCAATGTGGCACAGAAATCTGAAAAGTGATAATGCTGAAATGATAGGAGTTCTGATTGGGAGAGAGTTATGATAGAATTGAGATTGCCTGAGGAAGAGAGAAGGGGCAGCTTTAATTTTACAGAGTGCTCAAAATGTTGGATGTCATCCATAAGTATATTAGCTTCAATAGAATAATGTATATTTCCACAGTCACTCAAGGCTTGTACCCAGGGCAGCAGGTTGAGGAAGAGTGACTAAATACATTAATTTTTTTATGTAAAACGCTATATAGAATTGAGCAATATATAATACAACATATTCATGAGGCAAAATCCTATAAAATAAAGTATAGTTGTATTGGTGCCTGGAGTGTCCTTTTAAGGACATTCACTCAGCTCTAACGCAAATCCCAGTTCCACAAAAAAATAAATAAACTGTAAATTAAAACATGGAGTAATATGATTTAAAACAAATATAAAGACGATATAATCATTCTAAATGTTATCCAGACGTCTGTGTAATGTCAACAGTGAATAAGACCACTGGATATGCAACAATTTATTATCTGTCTTTGTTGATTAGGATCATCAAATAGTGAATAAGACGTCTAGCTGCTGGATAATTTAAATTCTGACAATGGAAAATCATTCTGTATTGGGAAACGTGTCTTAAACCATTCATTAAATTAGCAACTCTAAGACATATTGATCATCCACTTAAATTGAAACTCTGCCAGAGCTGGCTCTGTTATAAATGGATCCTAGGTGATTAACTGACTGTATGTCAACTATCCAATGAGCCTATAAATAAATTAATTATCTGTTCTATGTATATAAAAATCAATGGATAAAAAATGAAAGAAAAAAAGATTTGTATCTAGATACAGTGATATAATTATATAGATATAGTACTCGGAGTCTACCAGCATGTGTTTTAAATGCTTCACAGGCGCATTTAAACCAAGTCTTTCAAAGAAAAGTCTGCAACTGGTTTTGATTTCGCACAAAGCTTGGAGGAAAGCCAATGAAGCTCTTAAGGGAGTTTCTAATCACACTGTTGTTAGTCTTTTACAGAACTGTTTTTAATTTTAGTAAGCCCTCAGTAATAAAGTCAAAGGCCTGTTAATTAAATAGCCCATTTCAGATGGTGTTCCTGACATTTCAGAACAGCATCTGAACAAGGTGACCAAAAATTTAATTGGTGGAACAAAAATATTCAGAATACATTTATCCAAACAATCAAATAAAACACGGCTTTGTCTTTATTTTAAACTGGGCAAAGGTGGAATGGTTCATTTGTTCGGGCTAAGGGCATGGATCATTTAAATCCACACTGGCTCCTTTACACAGGAAATGAGTCAGACTAAAACCCTGCTGGGAGGCCTCCTGTACAGTCCATTAATAGAATGGTACTTTATTAATTGAGACATTGGATTCTCCTTATGTACTTTGTTTATATTCACTAAACCTTTATTTCGCTTTTATCTTGGATAGGCAACCTCTGGAATTCTGGCTTACATGGGCTGCATTTCGCATCATACTCAATTAATTATGTTGGATGCTGTAGCCACTAGCTTCATAGTCATAGTCATCTATATATAACACCATTTAAAATAACAATAACAAAATTATAAACATTCCCATGAGGTGGATCTCTTCTCTGACGATCTTATGAAAGTTATGTGCCCCTGCTAGCATAGAACTCTGTTAATGTTTGTTGTCCAGTGTCATGTGCAGAAGAGACAGAGATCTTTCCTAAAGCAAGCACATTGCTGAACACGTCAACAACATCTTATTTGGCCAAAGTTCCAGTTTATACTAAAGTTGTATAGCCTTCTGCTCAGACACTGTCCACATCAAGAGGTTCACAACCCGTGTTCAGGTCACTTGCTTTCCCTAAATTATTCTAAGCATTGCATTGGATATTTTTGGATATCTTAAAAAATATGTTTTGCTGTAATTAAATGGTATCCAGAACAGTTGAGCTTTGAAGAGTAAGTAAAATATCTACATGATGCATGATTCATTAGTCTGCTTTATAATATTCCCAGTGTGATTACCAGCAATTAGATACTTCCTGCACTGAGCAATTATTCGAAAACCACAGAATATAAGCAAACAGTAGAAGAGAGCATGAGTTATCATTGGTTTATTTAATATAGACCAACAGAATAGTACAAAGTCCTGTATGGTTGGCACCACAAGAAGTTTTTGATGTCTGTAAAAAAATAAAAAATAAAATAAATACAAACGAACATTCGTCATCTTGGTTTAATTACAAAGTCTAATGGACTTATAGAATGCAAGGACAGTTCAGGTCATGTGTGGAAAAAAAGGGTTGCTCTTTGAGATATTTTATTTTTTATATTTTGAATTATATTTTGAATTATATCTCCAAGACAAACACGATTTTAATGTGAAAAATGTAAAGTGAATTAGTGATGACAGGTTCAACTTACACTGTAAAAGCTCCTGAATCAGTAAATACACTGAACAAAATAATAAACGCAACATTTTTGCTTTTGCCCCTATTTTTCATGAGCTGAACTCAAAGATCTAAGATTTTTCTGTGTACACAAAAGGCCTATTTCTCTCAAATATTGTTCACAAATCTGCCTAAATCTGTGTTAGTGAGCACTTCTCCTTTGCCGAGATAATCCCTTCACCTGTGGCATATCAAGATGCTGATTAGACAGCATGATTATTGCAAAGGTGTGCCTTTCGTTGGCCACAATAAAAGGCCACTCTAAAATGGCAAAAACAAAAGTGTTGCGTTTATAATTTTGTTCAGTGTATATAAATTATCTTAAAGATAAATGCTATATCTAGTTGCTTTTGGAGTTGTTATAGCGCATCTTACCCCTAGTTCTGTGTTCCAGTAAATTATGATTGAGATCTACTACTGTAACATCCACCCTCTAGTCCCGACTTACACCTGCCCCTCTGTAAAGCAATTGGACCTGCTTGAGAACATTTTGCAAAACCAAGCAATTCTCCTCCATGATGCCAATGTGCTGGTTTTGCTTCCGACATATGGGCATCAAAACAAATTGACATCAGAATGAAGTGAGCATTTCTATATTTTCTCTGCAAATACAGGTTGAGGGGCCATATCTCTTTTTGAATCTATCCATTTGCCACCATTTGTGCTAGCCTGATATGCATATGATTTTCAATGCTCTTTTAGTAGAGCACAGATCACTATGTCCATGAAAGCTACACTCATACAATAGATGTATAAGCATATGTGTTATTTTTATGACCTTTCAAGGAAGGAAAGATTGTACTTATAAAAATGGGGTAAAAGGAGAAATATTGAACAAAGAATACAGGGTTTCTAGAATTGAAAATACAATCTCACAGGGCAATATTTATTAAGTGGTGAAAAGATGAATAGTTTTAATGAGTTAATTTTCTTTAAAATGGCATAAGAGAATATTAGCCTACATTTTAGCTAGTCACACTAAGCTCTCAAATAAGTTTTAGCACACCTTTGCCTTCACGGAGGTATATTTCACATAGCATCCACATCGATAGTCGAGTACCAAAAATAAACTTTTCTCCCTGCACATAAGATCAAATCCAGACAATTGCTTTGGTCTCACTCATCGCTTTATCATTGAGGAGATGCTGATAACCCTCTAGGCCAGGGATGTCAAGCTCTGGACTCCCAGATTTTTATAACCTACAACTCACAGAATTAATTGAACAGATGGACAGAAAATCATGGAAGTTGTAGTTCAGAAACATTTGGAGGGCCAGAGTTCAAGATGCCTGCTCAAGGCTTAGTGAGTCTGGATTACCTGTTTCATGTAGGCAAAACCTAGATATTCAAATATGTGTGTCCATTTTTAGTAAGTTTTCAATGATTAATTTTAATGACAACAGTTCCCTCTCCTTCCCCCTGAAAATAAATTATCTATATTTATGACAGAGTCATATAAAAAGCAAAAATTTTATGAAACTCAATACAAATTCTGAGCACACAACTTTGACAGTTGCCCATGATTCTAATATTGAATAAAACCCACAACCTATTGGGAGTTCTGAGTATATTTCATAAACCCATAGCCAGTACTCATCCGCAGTTTCACTTATACAAAGACATAAATGAAACTGCCGCTCAAGGAAAGCTCTTTTCATGTTTTTACTCATACGAAGAATGAACCATTATATGTAGCTAGAGACTTACAGTCTGTATGGTGTGTACAAGTGTGTACCTACCCTGGAAGGACATGCCATAAAATTATTAGGGGAAAGCTAAGATCCACCTATGTTACTTGGTGAAACTAATAGCTGCAGTGCTTGGGGAGTTATTTAAAATTAATCTGAAGAATGTATATTTTGTTTTTAAACAAAACTTAATTATTAAATGTTTATTAATTTCACAACGCTTATTTTCTATTTTTTAGGTTGCGATTCAGCAATATTATTTCCCATGAGATCACCCAAAATTTATGCAAGTGTGCATCCAGTAGACATGACCTTGGAAGCATTCACGTTTTGCGTATGGATTAAAGTAACTGAGGCCTTGGACAAAACTATTGTCTTCTCCTATGGCACCAAGCGTAACCCTTACGAAATCCAGCTATACTTGAACAATCAGTCGTCTGTACTCGTAATAGGTGGTGGAAATAACGTGGTATCTGCTGAGAATGTGTTTGAACCAGGACAGTGGTCACAGCTGTGTAGCACATGGAGCTCAGAAGATGGCCATGTAGCAGTTTGGGCCAACGGAGAAATTAAAGAACAGTTTTTTGACGTGTCAAAGGGTCGGGCCATCCCTGACCGAGGAATTTTCCAACTTGGTCAAGAAAAGAATGGATGCTGTGTAGGAGGGGGCTTTGACGAGTCATTAGCATTCTCTGGAAAAATCACAGGCTTCAATTTATGGGATAGAGTTCTCAGTGATGAAGAGATAGTGGCAACCGGAGCTGAAAATGGTTGCAATATTCGGGGAAATATTGTTGGGTGGGGAACTACAGAAATCCAGGCACATGGGGGTTCTTTATACGTCCATTAGCTTTAGCACTTTTCATATGTGGGCACATTTATCACCAAATGTGTCAGAAAGCTAACGTAAGATAAAGCATTTGATACCTAACAACATTAATATCATGGTAAGACCTCAAACATATCAGCTCTTTTTATTTAAGCTATGTCTACTTGTGAAAAGAATACTCAGTGTAGAAAAGTCATAAAACACGTAACACATACTGCACATTCTCCTCCTTATTTACTGTAACAGTGCATACACTACAAACAGTTCTCCCAAAGGTAAAGACTACGAAGAGAGAAGCTATATCTTGGCCTTAGAATTTCTTTAAAATGTGAATGCAAACATGCAGCTAAGAATCAAATACACTTCTTAAGTCAAAATATAACCACTTGTTTTAATTAACCATTATATGTAAGTATATACTGCTGTACTATATTGTAAATTGAATTTGTAAGAATTGCAATAGAACTACTGTATTTTTGTAAAATTGTACCATAGATAAATAACAATATCTCTATCACGCTGTTCCAGAGTTGTCAAGCAAAACTATAAATACTAAAATATAAATCACAATAACCTTTATTTTACCTTCCATATGAATTTTGTTTTGTTCATAGCACATAGGTTCAGATTTTCCAGTGTAACCTATTTGGGAGGCCCCTATCGTTTGGAAGAAAACCAACAGCACCCTTCCGAATTCCATATTACCAATCAACTGGTGCCCTATCGGATTATCGTTAATATCTTATGATATCAGTTGACCTGTTCTATATGTATTCTGTTTACTTATTTTAAGCATTTTCTGTGTTTGCAAAGCTTGTTTTTACTATAAAATAAATTAAAATGTTTTTTATTTTAAACACAATTGCAATTATTTTCACAAATTAATGAGTCGTCTAATATTAACCTTTGTTTTTGTTTTGTTTTGTTTTGGGCTTTTTTAAAATTTTAATGGTGCTGTTTTATAAAAGAAAAACTGCAGAACCCCAAATTTCTGGAGCATACATTACATAAGCGTATTCTTTACATTCAAATATAAAGGTTATTATGTGATACTGATATAACAACTCTTTTATAGATTATAGATTTACAGTAAAATCTCTTTACAATCGCTAAACATATAAAAGCATATGATCAATGAAGCAAATATATGGTTAAAATAGACATGGAAAATATAATACTTAAATGTCTTTTTTGTTTTTTCAAAAAGTATTAGATAGCTTAATCTGAGAAACATCTGATACACAAATAACTAAAAAGCAAGTTCAAAATACTAGAGCCCAGATGCACTTATATAACTATAGTGGTAATTGTATAAACCCAATAGCAGTGGAGTAACACCACATGCATGAACATACCTACTAGCTGGGTACAGACAGGCTTCCATTGCCCTTACTGAGTGGTTAACTCAGTAACTACTATACACGTATTCAGAGGCCTAAGAGATATTAGAAGTTAAGAGAACTATGCCTTTAGAACCACAAATCTCCTCCCCAATCATATTCAAAAACACGTGGAAAAAGTACGCATTAATGTGTAACAGAGATTTTTGTAAGAGGATACTGGCAGCAGGGGCCATGTGTATTTAACTTTGATCTTGATTAACAGACATCCCAACATGCCAAAACTCATTTCAGGGAGGTGGCCGCACCCCCCATGCGCGCCCCACAAGCGAGAACCCTCACCCCGGTACACACAGCATATTACAACTATTTACACATACTATTAACACATGGACACACCTTGACACACACATATACACTCTGATACCCACACTGGCGCATACACATACACACACACAAACCCAGATACCCACACTGGCACATATACACAAATACACACACTGGCACATACATATACACACTGACACATACACAAATTTACACACACACACACACACTGTCAAAGACACTCAGATACACTAGCACATACACACAATAGTACATACACACAATCTGACATATACTGCAGCACCTGTTAGCTTACTTTTTGGTGTCTGGACTGAGGCCGATGGGAGTGAGCATGCAGCAGCAGCTCACTCCAGCCTCTCCATGCTGCCTGCTCTGGTGCTGCCTCCAGCTTCCTTCTCTTTTTTTCCACTGGGAGGAAATGGCAGCATACCACTTCAGGTGGGTAATGAGTAGGGATCATTTATCATGTGTAATATCCTGAAAATCAAACACACACAATCTGACATGCATTGTATGTCATATTGTGTGTGTGATTTCCGGGATATTAGTATTATACATGGTGTGCGGGTGTCCGGGAACCTCATTAAACATGCGGAAGTCTCCTGGATTTATTGGGAGACTTGGGATGTCTGGATTAAAATATCTGATACATTTCACACAGTTATACGGTACAATAGGGTTGGAACTCCTTAACTTGATCAATGTAATTTACTCCTTACAGAGAAAGTAAATAAACAATTTGGGAAGGAAAATAGTTCAAGGGACTAGATACAAGAGAAAGTGACATGATATAAACTATAATTTAGCTTATAATTTTAAACTCATGTGCTTTAATGTGATGTACCCCTACCTCACCCTGATTTTTGTTTTTCAAGTTTGATTATTTATTTTTGTAATTGCAATATAAATCAGTTGCATCATGAGTGGGTGGTGGTGGGGGGATGATTCATTGCTTGAATTAATTTATTGCACATGGGAAGTCACGTTACCCAGCTAGGCTCCCTGGACACACTGGGAGAGATTTTGTGTAGATAAATTGCAATTTCTGCATAGGTGGATTCCTATATTTAGAAATATCCCAGGGTTGCATATCTGAGGGCAAGTAATGTTTATTTAAATAATGAGTCTATCTAGTGGAAAGACACAATATAAAATGGCAATTACTGGTTCATTACAGAAGCCATGCTCTAGTTATTGTTTAACTGTTTAAGCAAGAATAACGACATGTAACATATGTACCTTTAATGATACTGCTGAGGATTGCCTCTGTGTGACTGGCCAAAAGATCCGCTTTGGCAATGGCTGCCAGAGAAATGTAATTTGACATATTCCTGCACAAGTCCTTATTTCCCCTCTGAAGGAACTTCACAGCCACTGGAACAGCCAATGACATAACCGTGGGTCTGTTATAGTTCTGCAAATGTAAATTAAACACTACATGAAGACACATATTTGCAATGCTGTCATATTACTAAAACTATCTTGTAAAAAAACTAAAAGTGTACAAGAAGTACATATTTGTATATAGAAACAGTGTATCTGTGTTATCCTGAAGAGAATAACATGAATGCAAGATCTTTTTTACAATAAATCGGTGGAATGTCTAGGTTTATCTATCATTAACACCTTTACTTTTACATTCCTTGTATGATATTCATATGAAAATTAGTTGAATAGTTAACAGAAAATACAAAATATATTTGCAGAAAAATTATGGGATAGTATAAAAAGTATATGATTTCAGATGTCATGCAATATTTCAGACAGGAATTTTTAGCAGAGAATCATTAACATTTTTGTCACGTTCAATAGATGTGACAAGTATATATAACAAGAGTTAAGCAAAAAAACAAAAAAAAACAAAAAAAAACAACAGACACATTAAAACAAAAAAGGGTCAGGCTGGCAAAACAATGAGCAGCTCAAAAGTCACAGGTGGCCCAAAACTGAGATATAAAGTACCACACAGCGGAAAGAAAAAAATAAAAACAAAACAGAATATAAAGTAAAAAATGAAACTAAATGATTTATTAAAGTCAGCACTCCCTAAAAAATAAAAAAAATTAAAAAAAAGTGGAGTGACAGAAATTCCACAGGAGCTAAATCCCCGGGTAGCTATCTGCTAAAAACAAAACAAAAAACAAAGCACGAAATACACAAAGAAATAAAAACTTTGAATCTTATCGCAATAGCAAAGTCCTTAAAAAAAAAAAGTCCTTTTCTTTCTTCTATTGTTTCCCTTCTCTCTTTCTCTCTCAGAATCTGTTCTTCTTGTCTTCCTTTCTGATCGAGTTTTCTTTAAAACATAACATAAAGTAACGAATACTTTGTCTTATGTATTTTTCCTACGCTTGACTTTCTTTGACCAAAGGTGGAGCTGCTCAGGGTGAAGAAGTTTTGGATTCTTAATGTATATTTTCTTTTTTTTAGTTGTTGTTATGTTTAAAATTTAAAGATGCTGAGCACGTTACGGGCAAAAGATTTTGCTAATATTTAGACTGCTGATTTTCAATATTAAATTTTTTAATTTTTGTATTTATTTAGTTAACTGTGTTGGGTGTTGGTGGTAGTTTGTGGAAAATTGGAGAGTTTAGTGTTACGTTAGTTGTTAAAAGACAAAAAGAAAAAATAGAAAAAAAATGTATAACATTAACTAAATAATGTTAAATGTCTTGTGTAAAACATTGCAGATGCTTAGGAAGTTAAATGCTAAATGAGACACAGGCAGAGCATCACATTTGAAAAAATATAAAATTAGTGTGTCTCAAACTTTACCTTTCAACATCCACATGAACCTTGAATTATGTACTTTAAGAAATGGTAGGCCTTTGTGGGCATTGGCGGATCCAGGGGGGGAATCAGAGAAAATAGTGAGGCCGAGGCTCTCCCTTGCCGGCCCATGTAGGGCTGGTGCTATCCAAGTGATCAGTGATCTCCCTCCCCGGGCCACAGGCACATTGCTGGCAGCCGGCAGGGGAGGGAGTGAGAGAGAGAACCCGGAGAAGCTCTTACCTGCAACTCCACCGGGTTCTCTTCTCGCGATCACGGAGCGTTGCCGCGGTTACCATGGCAACACTCCGTTCTCGTGAGAGTGAACTCTACCCTGAGCTGCAGGTTGGAGTTCACTCCCCCACTAGAACCACCAGGGATTGGAAGAGAAAGCAATGTCTCCCCCTCCCTCAGCAAAGGTAAGAAGGGAGGGGGGACATTAGCTGTATATATTTAGCTATTATTTAATAATTAAAAAAAAATATATATCTTTAATCTGCCCCCCTATCCCCTCACACGCTGCACCACACACAGCCCCTCCCCTTACATACACAGCCCCCTCCTTACATACACAGCCCCCCTTACATACCCTTACATAGCCAGCCCCCCTTACATACACAGCCCCCTTTACACACATAGCCCTCCTTACACACACAAAACCTCCCCCCACACACAGCCCTCCTATCCCCTCACAAACTATAACCCCCTACACACTGCACCACACACAAATATACAGTCCCCCATCACACACACAGCCCCCTTCCCACACACAGCACCCCCTTACACACACACAGCCTCCCCACACACACAATGCCCCCTTAAACACATAGCCCCAATACACACACAACCCCCACACACACAGCCCCCATCCCCTCACAAACTATAACCCCCTACACACTGCACCGCACACAAATATACAGTCCCCCTTCACACACACTGCCTCCCCCTTACACACACTGCCCTCCATAAACACACATAGCCCCCAATACACACACTGCCCCCCTAAACACATAGCCCCAATACACACACAGCCCCCATACATACACATACACAGCACCACTCACACACAAACACACTGCTCCCAATATACAAATTGCTACCACATACATACACTGCACCCCTCTCACACACGCACTACCCCTCCATACACATACTGCGACCCTCACATACACTGCACCACACACACTACAGCCACTATCCCAGCAGACCCTGGGTAAGTTATCAAACTTTTTTTTTAAACAGTTTGACTACTTACTCTCGGAGGGCACCACAGCAAATCCTGGCACTAAAACCACTACAGAGAGCTGTAATAGCTATTGTGTCTGGATTGTTTCTTAAAATGATCTGCCAGTGCCCCTCCCAAGATTAACTTCTGGATCCGCCACGGTTTGTGGGGTTGTTTAAATTAGCAACCTGCTAAAAAG